TCTAACAGGCCTGTGGTTGCCAAGGAGTGGGGGGAGGGGGGAAGGACTGGGAGTTTGGGATTAACAGATGCAAACTTATCCATTGCTGTTGTTCAGTCATGTCCGACTCTTTGTGACCCCAAGAACTGGCACACCAGGCTTCCCTGTCTTTCACCATCTCCCAGAGTTTGCTAAAACTCGTGTCCGCTGAGTCAGCGATGCCATCCTGCCATCTCATCCTGTCGCCCCCTCTCCCTCTTGCTTATCTACAGGATGGAGCAATAATAGGGTCCTACTGTCTAGGCAGGGAATTATATTCAATCTCCTGGAATAAACTATAGTGCAAAAGGATTTGAAAAAGAATATATTTATATATATTAAAGAAAAGAAATGCTCCAAGAGTGTCTGTTCCTACCACCAAAGAGCCAAGAAAAGAGCCAGAGCCTTCCCAGTGACCCCACCCCACCCAACAAAGCCATAGTCTTCCCAGTGACCCCCACCCTACCCAACAGAGCCACAGCCTTCCCAGTGACCCCCACCCTACCCAACAGAGCCACAGCCTTCCCAGTGACCCCCACCCTACCCAACAGAGCCACAGCCTTCCCAGTGACCCCCACCCTACCCAACAGAGCCACAGCCTTCCCAGTGACCCCCACCCTACCCAACAGAGCCAGAGTCTTCCCAGTGACCCCCACCCTACCCAACAGAGCCACAGCCTTCCCAGTGACCCCCACCCTACCCAACAGAGCCACAGCCTTCCCAGTGACCCCCACCCTACCCAACAGAGCCACAGCCTTCCCAGTGACCCCACTCCACCCAACAGAGCCAGAGTCTTCCCAGTGACCCCCACCCTACCCAACAGAGCCACAGCCTTCCCAGTGACCCCCACCCTACCCAACAGAGCCAGAGTCTTCCCAGTGACCCCACCCCACCCAACAGAGCCAGAGTCTTCCCAGTGATCCCTGCCATACCCCAACAGAGCCAGAGTCTTTCTTCCCAGTGATCCCCGCCACACCCCAACAGAGCCAGAGTCTTCCCAGTGACCCCACCCTACCCAACAGAGCCAGAGTCTCCCCAGTGACCCCCACCCTACCCAACAGAACCAGAGTCTTCCCAGTGATCCCTGCCACACCCCAACAGAACCAGAGTCTTCCCAGTGATCCCCACCACACCCCAACAGAGCCAGAGTCTTCCCAGTGATCCCACCCTACCCAACAGAGCCAGAGTCTTCCCAGTGACCCCACCCTACCCAACAGAGCCAGAGTCTCCCCAGTGACCCCCACCCTACCCAACAGAACCAGAGTCTTCCCAGTGATCCCTGCCACACCCCAACAGAACCAGAGTCTTCCCAGTGATCCCCACCACACCCCAACAGAGCCAGAGTCTTCCCAGTGACCCCACCCTACCCAACAGAGCCAGAGTCTCCCCAGTGACCCCCACCCTACCCAACAGAACCAGAGTCTTCCCAGTGATCCCTGCCACACCCCAACAGAACCAGAGTCTTCCCAGTGATACCCACCACACCCCAACAGAGCCAGAGTCTTCCCAGTGACCCCACCCTACCCAACAGAGCCACAGCCTTCCCAGTGACCCCACCGCACCCAACAGAACCAGAGTCTTCCCAGTGATCCCCACCACACCCCAACAGAGCCAGAGTCTTCCCAGTGATCCCACCCTACCCAACAGAGCCAGAGTCTTCCCAGTGACCCCACCCTACCCAACAGAGCCAGTCTTCCCAGTGACACCCACCCTACCCAACAGAACCAGAGTCTTCCCAGTGATCCCCGCCACACCCCAACAGAGCCAGAGCCTTCCCAGTGACCCCCACCCTACCCAACAGAACCACAGTCTTCCCAGTGATCCCACCCTACCCAACAGAGCCAGAGTCTTCCCAGTGACCCCACCCTACCCAACAGAGCCAGAGTCTTCCCAGTGATCCCTGCCACACCCCAACAGAGCCAGAGCCTTCCTAGTGACCCCCACCCTACCCAACAGAACCACAGTCTTCCCAGTGATCCCACCCTACCCAACAGAGCCAGAGTCTTCCCAGTGACCCCACCCCACCCAACAGAGCCAGTCTTCCCAGTGACCCCCAACCTACCCAACAGAGCCACAGCCTTCCCAGTGACCCCACCCTACCCAACAGAGCCAGAGCCTTCCCAGCGATCCCCACCACACCCCAACAGAGCCACAGCCTTCCCAGTGACCCCACCCCACCCAACAGAACCAGGGTCTTCCCAGTGATCCCACCCCACCCAACAGAAACAGGGTCTTCCCAGTGACCCCCACCCTACCCAACAGAAACAGGGTCTTCCCAGTGATCCCACCCCACCCAACAGAGCAAGAGCCTTCCCAGTGACCCCACCCCACCCAACAGAAACAGGGTCTTCCCAGTGATCCCACCCCACCCAACAGAGCCAGAGGCTTCCCAGTGATCCCCACCCTACCCAACAGAACCAGTCTTCCCAGTGATCCCACCCCACCCAACAGAAACAGGGTCTTCCTAGTGATCCCACCCCACCCAACAGAAACAGGGTCTTCCCAGTGATCCCACCCCACCCAACAGAGCCAGAGTCTTCCCAGTGATCCCACCCTACCCAAGAGAGCCAGAGCCTTCCCAGTGATCCCCGCCACACCCCAACAGAGCCAGAGCCTTCCCAGTGACCTCACCCTATCCAATAGAGCCAGAGCTTTCCCAGTGACCCCACCCCACCCAACAGAGCCAGAGTCTTCCCAGTGATCCCACCCCACCCAACAGAGCCAGAGCCTTCCCAGTGACCCCACCCCACCCAACAGAGCCAGAGCCTTCCCAGTGACCCCACCCCACCCAACAGAGCCAGAGCCTTCCCAGTGATCCCACCCCACCCAACAGAGCCACACCCTTCCCACTGACCCCCACCCTACCCCAAAGTAAAAGCTCAACAGAGCCAGAGCCTCTCCAGGAATAACCACCCTACTCCAACAAAGGCCAGTGGTGAAATGTTCCCACCCACCCAGGTGTCAGTTTTCACTAACTTCCCACCCCCTTGGCCCCTGGCCTATGGGTAGCTGGTGCTTAGGCTCAGACCCCCTGCCATTGTGCCTGATGCCAAGACCTGGTCTTCTTCCTCCCACCTGGAGGAAGTAGACACCCAGCTCCCCTGTAGGGGCAGGGTAGCTTTACCTCCAGCCTGATGGCGTCAGGAGGGGATCAGGGGGTGAGAGGAGGGGTGAACTGGCATTTTTCCCCCTCCTGCACGTCCCAGTCCAGCAGGGTCCAGTGGGAGACCCGTCCCACTCCACAGTGAGAAAGCTGAGTTCGTGGCCCTGCTCTCAGGGGCCCAGGGGAGGCAGTGCTCCAGGAAGGCGTGAGAGAGACTGGAGGGGAGCTGCACTCACCCACGCCGACCGTGGTGAGCAGCGTGGTGCACCCCGCAGAATCACAGACCCTAGGGCCGCCGACGTCCACCCCACAAGGCCGCGTCTACACTTCAACAGTGAAACTCCCTGCCGAGAAGGTTAAAACAGGATCCAGAGTCCCCCGACACAAACCCAAGATGTCCAAAACACAACTGAGAACCAGGCTCATGCAACTGGACTGAGCAAGGACTGTTGACAGAGGCAGCCCTGGAGACCCGTGTCCAGAGCCTCAGCCCAGCAGTCACAAACACGCTTCCACAGGAGCTGCAAACCCTCTCAAACAAATGCAAGCTGAAAAGCGACACCTCCAAGTGCCTCCTAAGCAGGGAAAAACATTATTTCTCTTCCTTTTCTCTTTAAATTCTTGTTGGAATAGAGCTGCTTTATCACGTTGTTAGTTTCTGCCGCACAGCGCCGTGAGCCAGCCACGCACATACATACATCTCCTCTTGTTTGGACTTCCTTTCCATTGAGGTCACCACACAGCACTGGGTTGAGTTCCCTGTGCTGTTCAGTAGGGTCTCATTAGTTACCTGTTTTATACATAGCAGTGTATACACATCAATCCAATCTTCCAATCCAGCCCAACCCGTTGTCCCCCTTGGTGCCCATATGTTTGGTGGTTTACATCTGAATCTCTTCTTCTGCTTTGCAAAGAGCTTCATCTGCACCATTTTTCTAAATTCCACATATGTGTGTTAATATACAGTATTTGGTTTTTCTCTGTCTGACTTGCTTCACTCTGCATGACAGCCTCGAGGCATTTCTCTTCCTTCAATCTTAAGTGACTTTTAGGTCCTTTTCATCAGAGAATAATTTGCTAAGATACAGCTTCAACATATCTGGACCCAACAGAGCTAATTAGGCATTTATTGGGATCCCGCCATGTGTGAGGTCACCCGGCCCTGCTCAGGCCTGCTCACCTTGCTTCTGGGTTTAACCCAGTGACGGTGACAGGCATGGGCAACATCACCAGCTCAGGGCAGGAAGGGCAAAGTCCCCAAATGAGGCAGAAATAAAACCACATGGGAGCTCTGCCAGAGGGTGCAGTCAGCCCAAACAATGTGAGGATGCCCTCCGTGCAGAGATGACGGCAGACACAGTGAACAGGGGAAGTGAGGGAGAGGAAACGGGCAGCAGACACAGAAAAGCCAGGGGAGCACGCTGATCCAGAAACCGAGAGACAAGAGAATGCCCAGGAGGGAAGGAAAGAAAGCACGCGTCAAAGCACACGGGCGTCTGAAAGGCCTGTTCACGGTGAGCTGACACAAGGACCAAACAGCCGGGCGCACGCTGTGATCTTCTGCCCTCGAAGAGAGGAAGGCAGAAGCCGTTCCATCTTTAGTGAGATTCTGAGGACACTTTGGTTTAAACGATACTGTAAATGGGAAGGAACGACTGATCCATGCAACTGGGCAGAGAAGTAGTCTCTACCCTTAGCCTAGCCCTGTCTTGCCGTAAGTTAAAATAACTGCAATAGCAAAAACGAGCTCTCCTCTGCCTGCACCTCAAGGACAAACAAGCCAGCGAGAGAGGCGCTCTCTCACCAGCCACCCTGCAGGGGCAGGACCGCCTCTATGGGCCACGACGGGAGGGCAGGGGCAGGACCGCCTCTATGCGCCATGGCGGGAGGGCAGGGGCAGGACCGCCTCTATGCGCCATGGTGGGAGGGTGATCGCCAGAGGCTGGGCCGCCAGTGGGGCCATGGCAGGGACGCTGAGCCTGGGGTGCAAAGCTCTGACCCAAGTGAGTTAAAAGTTATCCAGTGACAGCAAAACAACCAGCCAAAACACAGGGCCCGAGGATGGCGAGGCGGAGGGAAGCACTCAGCGGCCTCTTTGGGACCTGGAGTGGGAAGACAGAAATCGGATGATGAAAATCATTTGCACCTTTCTCTCTCTCATCACCATGACCCTGAATCAAACAGGTCTCCTGAGATCCAGTAGACTCTGCTGTCATCCGATCCATCCCACCCCACTTCACCACCCATGAATCCGTGATTCCCACACTGGGTTCACCTAGGTCCGGGCTGGGTGCCCTGGCGGGAGCCACTGTATAAAAAGTCAGAGGTGACATAACCATTTCCCTAACTGCCCTCCCACTGGGCCCCCTCGGGCCCCCTTACTTCGTGATACAACATCTGTCTGGACCTCCAGTGGGCTGGCTTCCACCCAACTCACAGATCCAACAGAACAAGAGTGCTTAACGGAATCATGCTACTCAAGTGTGTTTCATGCTTGCAGACCAAGGCACCCCCAGCACCGAGGACAGACCTGGTATCACACGGCTGCTCAAGAGGAACTTACAGAATAAGTAGATCAAAGTCAGGAAAGTAAGAACTGATCTACTGATGGTTTCAACCAAGCATGCTACTTAATGTGCTCAGGTGAGCTTAACTTGGGTCGAATATGTTCCCTGTACTGAAGAGGCTCATCAAGGATGCCAAGGATCCCCACCCTGCACCCTGGCAGGCAGGCCAAGTCCACGCAGCCTGCGGCAATGGTCTGAGCGTGGAGTCCATGGGCCTGTGCGGCCCCCACTCCCTGCACTTCCCACCAGCGTGCATTTCAGGAACTGGCCAGGGCGAAGGGTGCAGTGTGCAGCCACGGAGTACCACAAACCGGCTTTAGAAAGCCAAAGACTTTCTACCTGCTCATCCCTGCTGAGGCCCGTCACGAGAACGGCCACAGGGACACAGAGAAGCAACAGAGGCTCCCACCCCCCTGCCCCTCTGGGTCAGCGGGCGCTCCAGGCCCCGTCTCAGCCGTGGGTTCCACGTGGTGCTGGGACAGGGCACCTGGGCAAGAGTCCCGGTCAAGGAAGGGTACTGGGGCTGAGAAGGTTTCGGAAAGTCCCCACAGGGCACTCTCTGGGGTCACTCTTTAGTCAGTGCACCTGCTGACCCTCTGGGGACCAGGGCTAGGTGGTCACAGACACAGCTCCCCATTCTCGGGGGGTCAGTGGGATGGATCCCATGCTGTGCCTTCCACACCAGTGGACCCACTGCCTAAGCTGCGTTGATAATTAGATTTCGAGCCCAAACAGGAGGATTAACTGTGAAACGAGGCTTTATTTCAATGCTGTGTCCATGCCAAGAGGTGCCTGGCCAGACTGTCAGAACCCATAGGTTTAAGTCTTTTGTGTTTGACCAATCTGACCAGAAGAAGGACGGGAGGTGCAGGCTGGTCAGGTGCGCTGAGAAGCGGGGGCTCAGGAGGCCCAAGGGTGTATTCTTGCCTTTTTCAGATGTCTCTCTTCCACACTATGAAGGCTCAGCAGAAACACACACAGTCCCCATCCTCCAGGCATCTCAGGACAATTCAGAAGGGCTCACAGGTAAAGGGGAGGCAGGACCGAGGAGCAGGGGACCAGCCTGACAGCATGATGTGGCCCAGGCCCCACAGTACCCCACACAGTCCACACAGGGGCAAGACAAGCCCCAGCACCTGGGGCCTGTGCCCTGAAGCCTCGGACTCCAAAGAGCTGGCGCTGCCATCAGCCACAAAGTGCATTTTTTTCAATATAATTAATTCTCCCGGGAGACAAGGTGCTTCTGTGGTCTTCATACACCTCTGCTGGGAGGAGAGGTCCCATGTCAGAGAAAGCAGTCTGTCTGAGGGCACAATCTGTCCACCACGAAGGCCAGGAAAGTTTGAAAAGCCTCACTGACACCCAGGGAAGAGCATCACACTGCAGGCAACATCAGCCGTCCTGCCCACTGACTGGAGGGGATCACAAAAATGTCACACGTGCACTCTTTGAGCTCGGAACAGAACATGCACCATGTTAGCCTCTAAGATAAGGAAGACACTTGGGAAGCATCTACTGAATGAACCCCAAAGATTCAGAACCCTTCTGTTCTGCTCTGTGGACCACACAGGAAACCCGGAGGGGAAGAGCAAGGTCAGCAAGGAGGCAGCAGAAAGGAGAGGTGGAGAAACGAGATGGGAAGGGGAAGGACGCAAGGTGGACAGAGTACAGCCTTCCTGCCAGGGGCTATGGGCCCCAGTCCCCAGTCCCTTCAGCCACTTGGCCTGGGGGGCGGTCCCCACTGTTAGGGGATAAATTCAGACACAGCCATGGTAAAGCCTCAACCTCCAGGATCTCAGAATGTGACTGTGCTTTAAAGACATGATCAAGGTAAAATGAGGACTTCACAGAGGCCTCATCCCATATATGACTGGTGTCCTTCTAAGAAGAGGACGTAGAAACACAGCATGTGAGGTCACAGGGAGAAGACACTGTCTACACACCCGGAGACAGCCCTCAGGAGAGGTCAGCCCGCCCACACCTTGATCTCTGACTTCTGGCCTCCAAGATCGCCAGCCAGAGTGTGGTTTATGCCAGTGGCTGAGATGACTGATAAAAGTCCGTCTAGTCAAGTTATTGTTTTTCCAGTGGTCATGTATGGATTTGAGAGTTGGACTGTGAAGAAAGCTGAGTGCTGAAGAATTGATGCTATTGAACTGTGGTGTTGGAGAAGACTCTTAAGAGTCCCTTGGACTGCAAGGAGATCCAACCAGTCCATCCTAAAGGAGATCAGTCCCGGGTGTTCATTGGAAGGACTGATGCTGAAGCTGAAACTCCAATACTTTGGCCACCTCATGCCAAAGTTGACTCACTGGAAAAGACCCTGATGCTGGGAGGGATTGGGGACAGGAGGAGAAGGGGACGACAGAGGATGAGATGGCTGGATGGCATCACCGACTCAATGGACATGAGTTTGGGTAAACTCTGGGAGTTGGTAATGGACAGGGAGGGCTGGTCTGCTGCAGTTCACAGGGTCACAAAGAGTTGGACACGACTGAGCGACTGAACTGAACTGAACTGAGCTGGCTGATACAGTTTCCACTACCCACTACTCTCTGCTCAAAGGCTCCAGCAGGCGCACGTGCAAGAAGGCCATCCAGCCTCAGTGCTCTACCGGACACCTCAGACCCACCAAGAGCATGCTAAGAACCCACAGCCAGGCCAGTCGGAGTGAGAGAGAAGGTCCGTCGCCAGGTCAGCCTCCTCGGGATGCAGTGAGGCGGAAGGAGCCAGCACCAGCCCTGGACCGTCACGGCACGTCCGCCCTGGACGTCACGGCGCACATGCCCTGGAGGTCACGGCGCGCCCGCCCTGCACCATCACGGCGCACCCGCCCTGCACCGTCACAGCGCACCTGCCCTGCACCGTCCTGGCGAGCATGCCCTGCACCATCACTGCGCGCCTGCGCTGGACCATCACAGTGCGTCGACCCTGGACGTCACGGCGCACATGCCCTGGACCGTCACGGCACGTCCACCCTGGACGTCATGGCGCACATGCCCTAGACCGTCCTAGCGCGCCTGCCCTGCACCGTCAAGGCGTACAGCACCCAGTCGCAGTGCTACAGGTGGGCAGACCCCCAACAAAGAAAACAGGGCCTGAACAGGGCCCTCCACCTCGGCTCTGTTCTGGTCCAGCTCTAAAAAGAACAGCTGCCAACTCCTGAGGGCTCGCCATGGAAATCTCAGAATAACCTGGAAGCATATCAGCACTCAGGCCTTACCAGGTGGCTGAGTGGTAAAGAATCTATCTGCCAATGCAGGAGACACAGGTTCAATCCCTGGGTTGGGGAGATCCCCTGGAGAAGGAAATGGCCACCCTCTCCAGTACTCTTGCCTGGAAAAATCCCATGGACAGAGAAACCTGGCAGGTTACAGTCCACCGGGTGGAAAAGTCAGACCCGACTGGGCAGCTGAGCACACGTGCAGACCAGCACTCACTGCACAGAACGCAAGGGGCCTGGAGCGGGCGAGCAGCAGGGACGGTGGCACAAAGGCTGGGCTGCAGGGCCTGCACCCAGCGACTTGTGCTCTCCCATCCCACCCATCTCAGCTCAAAGACGCAGGTGGGGAGGCCACCGAGCAGGCAGGGCTCCCAGCAGAAGCCCTGGAAGGAAGGGCCCAGTGGGACGTCTCTGCCCACACTTGGTGATTTGCAATAGGATGCATTTACTAATGTCCCTGTCACCAACAGTGAACAGACCCATGTCCTGCAAAGTATTCAAACAGAGCTTACCTGTTGGGGGATTTCTGGGGTTCTGGGCGTCTGGGGGCCAGCTGTCTGGAACGTAGAAGTAGCGGCTGGTCTCGGTCACAGGTCACGGTCACGGGGCCTTTGCCCCCTGCAGCCCCTTCTTCAGGCTCAGCATGATGCCCAACTCCAAAGCTGAAAAGGCAAGGAGGCCTTCACTGAACATGCTGAATTTGCACAAGTGTGAATTTTACACCCTGCATCCAAGAATACAAGTTTTAAAACAATTTTTAAACAAACAGAAGTGTTTTTTTCTTTTTTTTCAAGGAGACTGTTTAAAAGACAGACTTCGAAAGGAGTCCACAGGCAGCAGGCTGCTGGTCGCCACGGCGCTAACCACAGGGACAAAGGCCTGCAGACACCAGAGAAGCCCTGGGAAGCTGCTGGTCCCCAGTCACTGCCCGATTGCTTCCCCCACCCCCCCACCCCCAAAGCCAGGCAGGTAAGGACTGGGCAGGCCTCTGCTCTCTTGCAAGGCCAAGTCTATACCTGCAAGGCATCCATGGCACCTAGATCACAGCCCACATCCTTCCCAAGTCCTGCCAGGCTACAGCCCTCACCCCATCCCCCAGGACCATCCTCATCTGAGACCAGGTTCTGGCCCATGGTGTGCAGTGCCTGAGAGGCCCAGGGCAGGGCCCAAGTGTGTGCCACGGTGGGGGCGGGAATCGGGCTATTTCTTCTGATTCAACACTCTCACTTCTATTCTGAGGGCCAAGACCCTGCTCCAGAGTTGGGGGGTGGGGAACAAAGATGAAGGTTCCCCCTGCCAGAGGGCAGCATCTGGTCACCAAGACAGCTCTGCACTCCGCCCCTCTGCAGGGTGGAGGGGAGAGAGGGCCGCCTCCCAGAGGGTCCTGGCACGTGACACTGGATGCCATGGAATCTCTGAGCTTCACTCCTCTGCAAGGCAGAGAGGAGAGACAGCCACATCCCAGAGGGCCCTGGCATGTGACACTGGATGCCACGGAATCTCCCCAAGTCCAGAGGAAACACACTCACTCGACAACAGGGAGATCGGCAGACAGCACAAGTTCCGTGGACAAAAGTCCCGAGCACCGCTGTGCCTGTGTCTGCGACGCACTGTCCTTGGGTGGGGACATGTTACCCAGGGATGTTAAACTAGCTCACCCTGACCACTCAATGGCGGAAACAAAGCCTGCCCTGCCTCCGACCTGACGTGGGAGAGGCCAGTGTCGAGGACTTAGAAATCCCTGCAGAAGGTCCATCTGGGCACTCAGGCTAAGAATCTGGTGCGGGAGCCAGACAACGTCCGCCACCCCCTGACCCCACTCCCTCTCAGCGGGTGACCTGTGGGTGGATCACCCCACTCCCTGAGCCTCAGTGTCCCCCACTGTGAAGATAACATCTCCCTCCAGGGCTTTTATGAGCATGAAGTGAGCAAACGCATGTCAAGACTTAGGATACAACACACAGTAAATGTTAGACAAACACTAGTTATAAGCTAGGACTCAGTTGGCAAGTCCCCTGCTGTCAGATGCTGAACACAGTGGCTTCCTGCAAGCTGTAAAGGCTGTTGGTGTTTAGAGGGAACGCTGAACTTCTAGGATCAAAAGGGGAGAGACCCTGATACAGGATTATCTGACTGCTCAAAGCTGAACATTACCCATGCACGCAAAGGCATTTGATGAAAGGTGCCTGCTTTCACCCTCAAAGAATGTATAAGCCTGAAAAGTGTTATGATGTTTATATCCAGTGGAACAACTCTCAATTCCAGGAGCTAAGTTGACTCCAAGTTTAAAAATCTTAAAAAAGAAAAGAAAAAGGCGAATGGTCACACAGGCATGAGGGTCTTTGAACAACCGGCTGGCATGTTGGCAAGGGCACCAGGTCATACGACAGCAGAGTACCACATGCCCGTCATTACCTCTAACCCTCACATCCTGAGAGGTCTCCCCTGGTTTCCAGAGGAAAAATCTTTCCTTGGACGTCACCCAAAAGCCCCAGGACCAATTCCAAATGCATCTTTCATGCCTATGACCTTCAGCTGACAATATATGTTTGGGAGATTTACTTTTTATACTAAATTTTTTTAAAAATGACAGACATAGTTGCCTGTCAAGCTGTTCACCACTTTACACATTTTCATGTGTTTTTAAGAAAGTGGATATGTAACAGATAAAACAAAGACATGATTTTTGAACCTGATGAGCTGAAGAGAGAGATAACAGCACCCTCCCCAGGCACAAACGTATAGGCGCTATTTCCAGGGCCCCATCACCTGGACCCCCACCAGCACAGACCCACAGGCTTCCTGTAGGAACCAGACCAGCTGCACCCGACCCACAGAAGAGACGGAACTTTCTGGGTGCTGATCACCAATCAGGTGGTTCCATAGGCAGACATGACAAAAACCTGAAGAATATACAAACTTGGGCGAAAAAGAAATGTCTTCACTTACTTCCAAAATGTTTCAGAAACAAAGGACCTCTTGATTTCTGTTGAGTGCTGCTGATCCCTTCCAGAAATTCCTGAGTTAATATAAAGTTTTCCTTCTGTCTAGCTTTCTCACACTAAATATTTAGAGTCATAACAGTGACTATTTAGACACTCAACAAATCCCAAGCTTCATGATGAGGCTGTTCGGCCACTTTGGAATGAAGGCTGGGGCTTCTCAAGAGGGGACAAAATACCTTTCATCAAAAAAATTAAACTCAGGATTGTACTGACCTCAGAGGCCACTCTGTTTTCATGGCGTAAGAAGGTGCTTATAAGACAAACTGAGAAATACATGAAAGAAATGGAATTGAAGAAAAGGCAACGTTTTCTAAGTGATCATAAAAATCTCAGGATGCTGTTGCCAGAACCTCTGGACGGCTGAAAAGGAACACAGTTAAAGCTGAGAATCTTCACTGCCGGCAGGCGCACCTAGACAGGACCTGCATTCCAGTGATGCGACAGCTACTTCCAGGGTAGAGAAGCTAGAATGTGAGGATGCTGGCAACACAAGGAAGTTCAAACCCAGGATCGTTCCTGTCCAAATGCCGACATCTTGCTTTCAAACCACACACACAAAGGAAAGGTCTGGGAACAACTCAGCAGTGACCCTGACCCAGTCTAGGAAGCGCCTTCCCATGGTGGCCTTGGGACCATGGTCAGGAGACACCCCGAGCTCCAGAGGATGCAGAGCAGGGCCCAGGACAGGGCACCTGTGTCCCAGAAAGAGCTTCCCAACTGGATGCCGTCATGGAAACTAACCCAAAACCTACGGATGGATCCAGACCCTACCTGGTTCTCAAGTTCAGGGTCAAGCAGAACCAAGGACACTACCAGTCCTCACCATGGGGCTTCTGGGGGACACCACACAAGGCTGAAGATGGGTTGTCCAAGGAAGCCTGTCCAAGGCCAAACAGGACGGAAATGCAGCGGGATGAGGGGACTGCCTACCTGGAAGAGGCAGGACTCTTCTCCCCAAAACGAATCCAGAGTCCGCAGGGCAGTGAGGGGCAGGACACACACAGACACACTTGGTAAGTGACTAGAAGACAGACGGAAAATAGCCACCCTCCATAGCTGACAGGCATACATGCCTGTGCTAGTTCAGCACTACGACCAGCCCAACAAAATAAGGAATATCACCACCCTTCCATGAGGGAGATAAAAGGCCTAGGTGTCTGGAAACATAAGTTCATAAATGGGAAGACTGACCGTCACAAAGGTTTTGATTGTCTTCAAATAATGAACTTAAAAATTAAAATTAATTTTGTCAATGAAAGGCAGTATCTCATGAGAACTGACAAAATACAATAAAAGGTAAGACTGTCCATCATAGAGCATTAAGAGAACAATCCGCTCATCACAGAAGACGCTGTGAAAGCAAAAGTAATTAAAACAGGGTGGTGCTGTGTAGAAATCCTTCTAGCACCACCAGAAGGGCTGGGCTTACAAATAGGAACGCTACCATCGCATTACAGCAGCACGAACTATCCTGACGGGAGACTGTGCCGAATCCCCAAGCTTCCCCACCACGCGCACACAGGACCCGTGGGATGGGGAGCCCTGCCTCCCCTCCGCCCTGACTCTCCCGATGATGCTGCCCAAGATAAAGATGACACCACGATGACTGAGGAGGTGGCCATGAGCACACTTGAGTGACAGCCTCGTGTGTCAGACACCCCACCAAACGCTTTAGAACCGTTCTGCAAGATGAAAAGGAGCAAAAGGACATGAGACTCACAGTAAGGCACAAATGGGTGGTTCTTAATTAAGAGTAATGAAATATTGCCAGTTCTTGAGGTAGAATTATGACCCCATTTTATAGGTGAAGAAACCAAGCCTGGGAGGCAATATACTAGCTGTCGAGCTCACACAGCTAAGAAATGGAAAAGGTGAGATTCAAATCCATAGATGTTTGAATCCACCCACCTGCTCTAGCATCTTGCTGATAAACTATCATTTGCATGAGAAGAAAATAGACAACCTTTGCACTTATTTGTAAGGCTGCTCTTCATTTTTTTTCTTTCAATTACATTTTTTTGGAGCATAGTTTAACTTTTTTCTTTTAGAGAAATAGAAAATAGCCATAAAGGAGGGCCTGAAATTCAAAGCACAGAGGATGGCGGGCGGGGGGCGGGGGGGGGGGCTCCTGCTTGCAGGAATCAGTATTTCAGTGATGGGCATAAAATAAGGAGCCTTCTTAACCTTATAACAGGCACCTACCAGACACCTCCTGCAGGCAGGTGGCCGACGCAAGAAAGAGGCACCAAAAGGCATACAGACCATCTGGAGAAAACCATGGTTCCAAAGGATACGTGCACCCCAATGCTCACAGCAGCATGATTCACAACGGCCAAGCCTCGGAAGCCACCTGACTGACCACCGACAGAGGAGTGGGTAAGAAGATGTGGTTCATGCACGCAATGGAATAGTACTCAGCCACGAAACATGAAGCAGTGCCATCTGCAGCACCATGGGTGAAAGAGGAATGGGTAAGAAGATGTGGTTCATGCACGCAATGGAATAGTACTCAGCCACGAAACATGAAGCAGTGCCATCTGCAGCACCATGGGTGAAAGAGGAATGGGTAAGAAGATGTGGTTCATGCACGCATTGGAATAGTACTCAACCATGAAAAGGGCAACAGTGCCATCTGCAGCTACATGGATGAACCCAGAGATGATCATTGTGAGTGAAGTAAGTCAGAAAAAGACAAGTATCATATGATATCACTCATATGTGCAGTCTAAAAAAAAGGATACAAATGAACTTATTTACAAAGCAGAAACAGATTCACAAACATAGAGAACAGACTTACAGTCATGACGAGGGAAGCTTGGGAGGAGGGATAAATTAGGAGTTTGGGATTGACAATATATACCCTACTATATATAAAAGAATCAACAAGGACCTACTGAATAGCACAAGGAATTCTGCTCAATATTCTCTAACAACTTAAATGAAAAAAAGAATCTGAAAAAGAATGGATACATGTATATGGTTAACTGAATCACTTTGCTATATGCCTGAAACTAACAACATTGTTAATCAACTATACTCCAATATAAAATAAAAAGTTAAAAACAAAAAATACATACCAGACTCAAGTTCTTCACCAGGAGGCAAGGAAGGAGAAATCAGTTCATCTATAGCCAAAGATCATTTGTGCAAAGTCCAAAGGGAAGCAGAAAGCCTCGAGAGAAATGACCATGAACACAGCCAACAATCTGCACTCAGTAAATCTCTCATTTATTAAAATAACACAGGATGAGAAGCCCAGTGTAAGAACAGGGAGAGTACAGAAGCAAACAATTCGTCAAACACACACATGAAGCTCAACTTCCCAAGTAACCATGGAAACACAAATTATAGAAGCAATGAATGAGCTATAAATTTTGACACATCTGACTGCTGCACATTTAAAAAAACTGAGATGACCCCTGGGAGTTGGGGATGGCCTTGGAGCAAGGGGGCTCTCCTAAGCCACAGGGGGGGCTCCTGAACAGGCTCTGGGCAGCCGAGCATCTCCCAAAAGTCAGTGTTAGAAGCAGGAATCTCACTTCGTGTAACTTATTGTCACCTGAGTGTGCACACACACACCGAAAAAGCAGTGACTGCCACACCCGGGAACACAAGAAAGCTGGAGCAACCCAGATAGACCTGCTCACCACCACCCCCCTTCAGTTCCCAGCAGTGGCTCCCAGCAGTGGCTCCCAGCAGGTACGCGTGGCAGAAACCCAGGGGCTGTCTGTGGCCTCCCTGACCTCCTGCCCGCGCAACCCACAAGGCCACTTAACTGCGGCCAAAGAAGCATTTGAAATCCATCCACGGCCTTCAGGTGCCAACACTAGCTATCACTCCCATCCGACCTGGCCCCAGCTCCCTCCACATGCTGCGCCTTCACCCCTCACAAGCCAGCTGGGGGCTTGGGATACACCTTGGGATACAGGGAATGCCCACCAACAGCCCTGCCTGCCTTCAAGCTCCTGTGAAATGGCCGGCCCAAGATTCACCCCCCAGGCCACTGGCCTGCCCCAAGTCCTGCCGCTCCCCTCCTGTGACCCCCGTGTCCTCTGTCCCGGATGACCCCCTTTCTTCCTCCTCTCCTTGAAACCAACTTTATGATTAACCTCGCCATCCAAAACATTATTCCCTTTCTTGTCCCACACCTGGTCCCCTGGGGACTGAGGACTGACAAAGAAAAGGGAGGATGGAAATGGAGCAGGACCCCGCCCCGGCACCAAAGCCCCTCTTTATCCCTATTTCTTGCTTGTAGAAAAAGGCTTTCATTTCCTACGCTTTCCCTGAGTTCCAAAGAGCAGACCCAAACAGTTACTAACTAGGGAAGCAAGGGAATGCAGAAACAGAGGAAAGGCAGGAAACTAATGTCCAGCAAGGAAACTAGTGACAAGAGCTCAAGGATAAAGCAGGGTCCCAGCGCCTCCGTAAGGGATCAGCATGACAACGTGGTGCTCATCTGTGAGCTGTGCTGCAGAAACTCCCCAGGTGGAGGGTGGTGACTACATGCTGACTACAAGTGTGGAGACCCCAGACTGGCTGGAACCAGAAGGCTGATGACTCAGATTCCTGTCACCTCACCACCAACCAATCAGAAGGTCCAGGAGCTGCATCTCTCGCCCCAAACGTTGCCTTTAACAACCGTCTGCTGGAAGCCATCGTGGATTTCGGGTCTTTTACGCACGAGCTGCCCCTTCTCCTTGTCTAGCACCTGCAATAAACACTGCACTTTCCTTCACCACAACCCGTGTCAGTTGATGGGTTCTGCCGTGCCCCAGTGAGAGAACCCAAGTTCAGCTTGCTGACACCCTGCAGCACGCATCCTCTCCTCCCCATTCTGGCCCTACTTGCTGCTCTAGGACCCCACAGGCCCTGGAGACCCATCCTGGGGGTCCACGGCTGCCTTCCTGCTGCTGACTTCGTGTCTGCTTCCCCACCAAGGAGCCACTCCACAGCTGGGGCCCAGACCCGTACCAGACACTGCAACAGCCTCAGCTCTCAGCACAGGCCGAGGGCGCAAGGCTTTGCTGACAGTGTGGAAACACCTCCTGATGGGAGCTTGGGGAGGTCTTCTGGAGCAGGCTGCAGGCTGGCAGGTGGTCCCGCGGGAAGGACCCCACCAGTGAGGTTAACAGCCCCAGCGAGCAGCGCACTCCCTCCCGATGGGAGCCTGGGGAGGCCTTCCAGCGCAGGGACTGGCAGGTGGTCCCGATGGCGAGGACCCCACCAGTGAGGTTAACAGCCCCGGCAACCAGCACGGTCCCTCCAAGGCTGCAGCTTCTGGGTCCTGGGATGAGATGACCCAGTCCTGACCTCACTCGAGGACGCAGTGATGCAACTCTATGCGCGCTTTTCAGAGAACTGGCGAAGGGAGCTCTTGACTAACAGTGACTAAGATGAAGGAGGAAGAGAGATCAGGACTAACAGTCTTGCAAAAAGGGGGAACTGACAAGAGTGCACGAGCTTGTCTGGAATTCCACATGAAAAAGACCCAGAAGAACCCCGAGCATCTCTGATGGGAGGGAGGCCTCGGGGAGGAACAGAGAGCGAGAGGGACTCAACTCTGCAGACTTTGGGGCTGGAATTTTCACAGGAAGGCAATTATGTAACAATATCATTTATCTTTCTAGGAAGAACTGTCATCAAGGTTCAGAGCAGTGGTCCTGCCTGCTCCTCCTCCCTCCACACGCCTCACCCTGGATCCTGGTGACTCCCAGGCATCTCCTCCCTCTGCCCAAGCAGCCTCTGACCATTCTAGGAATTCCAGAGAATTCACTGCCCCCTCCCTCCAACAATGAGGCCATTAAATGCTTCCGGGAGGTCACATGAAAATGATCTCAGGGCTCTTTTGTACAGGCTGTTTCTAGAAATGCCAAGGATTTGCCTCTATTTTCTTTTCTTTTCCTTTCTTTTGTACTTTCTTCTCTTCGGAGGTTAAAAAAAAAACACAGAATGAGGAAAAGTAAGTGAAGACTCTGTACCTCGTGGAGAAAGCAGTTTACTCTTCAGGCAGCAACAGTTTTGCAGAAGGGGGACCAGCCAGCAGCTGGGTAGGGCTTCTCCCCTGCTCACCAGATAAACCGACAGGAAACAGACTCGATCTTGTTCGGGTGCTTTCCTGCCGCTCTGCAGACAGCCCATTACCAGCATGTGCTAGCGCACAGGGCGCACCCCAAAGTCCACCGCCCCCTGAGCCTCACACTTCATTTTTCAAAGAGAAGCACACCTTTTCTTCCTCTGGGCCCTCCAGGAGTCATGGCTGTGGGTTTTAGGTTTCTAGGATAAAGTATGACTAGCTGGTCCTCAGCTCAGACAGAAATCAGCATTTGAGGAAGAATGGCAGACACAGAGGATTGCCCGAGGCAGAAGCACTTGGAGCACGATGACCCGAAGCTCTGAGATGCGCTGTCGCACATGGAGGGCGGGTCTAGCAGGGCTGAGCCCAGACCCAGCGTGGAGGCACACTCCAAACTACCGCACTTAACCATTTCCTCTGCTGCTATTCCTCTCATAAGATCTAACAGCATGAACCTGCAATGACTTTCGTCTCCAAGTGACAGCCCTCTTCACAGTCCTATCAGTGGCTCACTAAGTCCCTGCTGGCCGGGCCGCTCAGCCCTCAAGTAGCCAGAGAACAGCACCAGCCTGCCCAGCTGCTCCCGCTGCTCCATCCGCAAGCCACAGCGGACTGACGGGGCGGCACAGGCAGGAATGGGGCCCTGAGAGGCTGCTACTGCTTGCATTGTGCCCCCCAAATCCACAGGGCGAAGCCCAGACCCCCAAGGTGGAGGGGCCTTTGGAAGGTCACTAGGTGAGATGAGGTCATGCGGGTGGGGTTTCCATAATGGGATCAGGACCCTCAGAAGAAGAGCTCAGACGTAACGTACAACATGGTGAATATAATTCACATTGCTCATGTTATATGTGAAAGTTAAGAGAGTAAATCCTAAGAGCTCTCATTGTAATAGAAAAAATTGTTCCCTTTTACTCTGGATCTATATGAGATGATGGGTGTTCACTGTACATACTGTGGCCATCATTTCATGATGGACGTATCAGATCAACATGCTATGTATCTTACAGATATTCAGTGCTGTATGTCAATTACATCTCAGAAGAACTGGGAAGAAGCAAAAGAGGAGAGATCAGAAAGTGAGTGTGTAGTGCGTGTCCACCACGGGAGGACAGGGAGAAGCGGGCGTCTGCGAATGAGGAAGGTGCCCTCGTCAGACACCGGCTCTGCCGGCACCCTGATCTCAGCTGTCCAGCCTCCAGAGCCGTGGGAGGTGCGCGTGTCGTGCGTGACAGCAGCCCCCGCAGACTAGGCGGGGTGGGCACCTGGAGGCCGCCCCCGGCACAGCTGCTCAGGAGGGACAGGAAGACTGCTGCTCCCTGAGCTCAGAGCATGAGGGACCCGCAGCCAGGCCCTGGCACCGGGAGCCACCAGCCCTCGGAGGACGGGCTCTCCTCTGCCACATGGCCCTTCACTCGGACTTGCAGGCTCTGGGGCCACGCTCCAGCAAGCAAAATGTTCTGGTCTGGCGGGCAACCCAGGCTCTGGTCCTCTGGATCCACGTCTGCTAGTCCCACAGATGTCACAGCGTGGCAGCCAAGACGAGGGGCCCCTCCCACGGACCCTGCATCCCTTGGGCACTCTGCAGGCAAGGCTCAGGCTCCAGGGTATCCACTGGGGCCTGGGAACAGTCCACACGTGGTTCTGTATCAACTCATCTCCCAGATGCCACCTCGCAGTGAGCCCATCATGACAGGGCCTGGCCGCCCTGCTCTGGCACACCGTCAGGTCATCGAGTATTCAACCTGTTCACACTATGGCTGGGGCAGGGCTAAAGCTCTGATCAGTGGGGTGACTGGGCAGGGCAGGCCCTCCCGCCACGCGTCGCGCCTTCCCATGCTCCCCATTCCCGGTCTGCACACCTGTTCTGGGCGCTGGGCCTCGGGAGCTGGGTCTGCGAGCAGAATCCCCAGGACACTCTGGATCTCAGGCTGCTTCTCTGTGCAAGGAGGGCATCTTCTATCAGGATGCAGAGTAAAGGTGAGCACAGAACAGAGCTGGGCTTCCCAAAATGCAGACGCAGCCGCCGCGTCACTCACGGCCCTAGGCTCGCACCCTCTCCTCGCCCAGCACTCGCTCCCAGCGACTCAGGAGCGGCTGTGTAGGACAGGGCAGACGTGGAGGACTGGGCCCTTCTCCTAAGGTGACAGTCCGCGGTATCACACACGGTCTGGAAAGCCAGTGGGGCGGAGGGGGGGCGGGGCAGGAAACACGGGCTCAGGCAGTTAATTCTCCTTCTACGGGGATCTAGCACTGTGTAGAAAACGTGAGGACTCATATTGCTGCCTCGATTCCCAATTAACTCTCATCCAGAATCAATTCCTGTGAAAGAAGAGCATGTTCTTTAGAAACCAGTTGAAAGCTTCCTGCTGCTGAAGGCAGCACATCACACTAAGGCTCTCATCCACCCAGGAGTTCCCAGCCAACCACTGAACGGCTGGTACTGTCGTCCTTAACCACCTCTTTGCATGCTCATCTGAGCCCTGAAATTCATCATTCTTCTCCTGAATCCACTCCACCAATATACATGGAGCACTCACTATGTTCTCAATCCACCATGGGGAATCACAGAACCATCAGATACGGTCCCTAAGCTTGTTTTCAATGCAAGATACAGGTGTGAGGCCAAATCTTGGTCAAGACCCTGGAACGATGACATGGGAAGAGAAACAGCCTGCAGCATGCATGCCCAATCACTGTTTTTGTCGATGCTGCAAAAGTGGCCTGCACATGCTTGAAACACCTGCATGAACTTGTTCTCCGGAATCCAGCAGGGGACTCTCACTATTGATAATCCCCTGCGGTAACAGCCCTAAATAACTGCTAACTTCTTTAGGAATCCAAGTCACTGACACATCACTGACCAAAAATCAGGCCCCCCCAAGTCTGGAGAAGTTTACTCCTTGGACCAGAGGAAAGGAAAAACAGGAAGACCATTCACCAGTCAGACAGCCACTGAGGGGCCTGGTGTCCCAAGCACACTACTCGGAAACCCACCTGAGTTAGCTGAGTGCCCCTCAGAATACTCACTGTCCCTCATGTGGATGGTGTCCGGGGGGCTGTCTCCTACTGCAAAGCTAATTCAGACTTCACCTCAGCATCAAAATTCAAACTTAACATCTCATTCTCCATCTGTCCATGATTTGAGCTATGGAAACAGTCACAACAGACTAACTTCAAATGGTCACCTATACAGACGCCTAAAGTTCACCTTCATCTTCCTAGAACTCATTCTCTGCCATCATCAAGATGACATTTCAGTTCAGTTCAGTTCAGTCGCTCAGTCATGTCCGACTCTTTGTGACCCCATGGATTGCAGCACGCCAGGCCTCCCTGTCCATTACCAACTCCCGGAGTTCACCCAAACTCATGTCCATTGAGTCAGTGATGCCATCCAACCATCTCATCCTCTGTTGTCCCCATCTCCTCCCACCTTCAATCTTTCCCAGCATCAGGGTCTTTTCCAATGTGTCAGCTCTTCGCATCAGGTGGCCAAAGTATTGGAGCTTCAGATTCAACATCAGTCCTTCCAATGAACACCCAGGACTGATCTCCTTTACGATGGACTAGTTGGATTTCCTTGCCTTCTCCAAAACCAAGTTCAAAAGCATCAGTTGTTCGGTGCTCAGCTTTCTTTATAGTCCAGCTCTCACATCCATACATGACTACTGGAAAAACCACAGCCTTGACTAGATGGACCTTTGTTGGCAAAGTAATGCCTCTGCTTTTTAATATGCTGTCTAGGTTGGTCATTACTTTCCTTCCAAGGAGTAAGCGTCTTTTAATTTCATGGCTGCAATCACCATCTACAGTGAGTTTGGAGACCAGAAAAATAAAGTCAGCCACTATTTCCACTGTTTCCCCATCTATTTGCCATGAAGTGATGGGACCAGATGCCATGATCTTAGCTTTCTGAATATTGAGTTTTAAGCCAACTTTTTCATTCTCCTCTTTCACCTTCATCAAGAGGGTCTTTAGTTCCTCTTCACTTTCTGCCATAAGGGTGGTGTCATCGGCATATCTGAGGTTATTGATATTTCTCCTTGCAATCTTGATTCCAGCCTGTGCTTCTTCCAGCCCGGCGTTTCTCATGATGTACTCTGCATATAAGTTAAATAAGCAGGATGACAATATACAGCCTTGAGGTACTTCTTTTCCTATTTGGAACCAGTCTGTTGTTCCATGTCCAGTTCTAACTGTTGCTTCCCGACCTGCATACAGATATCTCAACAGGCAGGTCAGGTGGTCTGGTATTCCCATCTCTTTCAGAATTTTCCTCAGTTTATTGTGATCCACACAGGCAAAGGATTTGGCATAGTCAATAAAGCAGAAATAGATGTTTTTCTGGAACTCTCTTGCTTTTTTGATGATCCAGCGGATGTTAGCAATTTGATCTCTGGTTCCTCTGCCTTTTCTAAAACCAGCTTGAACATCTGGAAGTTCATGGTTCACATATTGCTGAAGCCTGGCTTGGAGAATTTTGAGCATTAATTTATTACTGCACAAGATGAGTGCAATTGTGCAGTAGTTTGAGCATTCTTGGGCATTGCCTTTCTTTGGGATTGGAATGAAAACTGACCTTTTCCAGTCCTATGGCCACTGCTGAGTTTTCCAAATTTGCTGGCATATTGAGTGCAGCACTTTCACAGCATCATCTTTCAGGATTTGAAATAGCTCAACTGGAATTCCATCACCTCCACTAGCTTTGTTCGTAGTGATGTTTCCTAAGGCCCACTTGACTTCACATACCAGGATGTCTGGCTCTACGTGAGTGATCACACCATCATGCTTATCTGAGTCATGAAGATCTTTTTTGTACAGTTCTTCTGTGTATTCTTGCCACCTCTTCTTAATATCTTCTGCTTCTGTTAGGTCCATACCATTTATGTCCTTTATTGAACCCATCTTTGCATGAAATATTCCCTTGGTATCTCTAATTTTCTGGAAGAGATCTCTACTCCTTCCCATTCTATTGTTTTCCTCTATTTCTTTGCATTGATCCCTGAGGAAGGCTTTCTTATCTCTCCTTGCTATTCTTTGGAACTCTGCATTCAAATGGGCACATCTTTCCTTTTCTCCTTTTATTTTTGCTTCTCTTCTTTTCACAGCTATTTGTAAGGCCTCCTCAGACAGCCATTTTGTCTTTTTGCATTTCTTTTTCTTGGGGATGGTCTTGATCCCTGTCTCCTGTACAATGTCACGAACCTCCACCCATAGTTCATCAGGCACTCTGTCTATCAGATCTAGTCCCTTAAATCTATTTCTCATTTCCACTGTATAATTGAAAGGGATTTGATTTAGGTCATACCTGAATGGTCTAGTGGTTTTCCCTACTTTCTTCCATTTAAGTCTGAATTTGGCAATAAGGAGTTCATGATCTGAGCCACAGTCAGCTCCCGGTCTTGTTTTTGCTGACTGCATAGAGCTTCTCCATCTTTGGCTGCAAAGAATATAATCAATCTTATTTCGGTGTTGACCGTCTCGTGCTGTCCATGTGTAGAGTCTTCTCTTGTGTTGTTGGAAGAGGGTGTTTGCTATGATCAGTGCATTCTCTTGGCAAAACTCTATTAGCCTTTGCCCTGCTTCATTCCGTACTCCAAGGTCAAATTTGCCTG